TTGATATATTTCTGATTCCCCCCCCCCCCCTCCCTGCCTGTTGTGTTTTCTATTGTTCTCGTTGGACAGTTGAAGAGCAAAGAAGAAATTATGATTATACCAGATGATCTGGCCTGACTTTCTGTAGAATAGTGGTCAAATGATGATGGTTACCACCAATGCATTAAAGCTTGGTGAGGTGGGAGGTAAGGCAATTTGCCACCGTAAAGTGGCTCTGTTTAAAAAATTCAGGTGAGTGCGTAGTGCATCTGTTTGGTCCGGTTGTAGTTCAGTTCCCTTCAAATTACTCTTGGACCTCTTCAAGTCCTCCCTACTCTCTTGGAGTAGGATAATCTATCGTATCGATAAAAAAAAAATTACATATAAAAGCTCATGCAATCGTTATATGAATGGAAGCAAATTCATTCCATTAATGGTCACTGATGCTTTCACAATATTTCATATATTAGTGTAAAGCTTGAAATACAGCTTGTTAGTAATTGCAATTTATTTTTGTAATAAGATTATACCTCCAAAACAACAAACTTGCAACATATCTGTTTAAAACATGATGAGTATTTACACAAAGTCCAGCAAGATAGGTGTAAAGGTTAGGTCATGTGGCTACTATTTGTGGGACATCAACTGGATTTTCAGCACTTGCTAAGTTTCTTGGGCTGCATCTTTCATTATATTTGCCTTCTGTGATGACATTTTAATGATTCCCCAAGCCCTATTCAAATTGCATTTATCTCTTGCATGTCTAGTAGTGAAGATCAAATTGCAGATTGATCTTTATCTATTGAGACAACAATTGGAATTACCTTATAAGATGCATGTTAAGTGGATTTTGAAAAGAATTGCAAGTTCTTTCATGGTATCTTTGTACAAAACTACCCTTTCCATCTTAATTATTTGGGTTAATTACATTTACCTCCCCTGAGATTTAACTAAATTATCCTTTACTCCTTAAGATTTAGCCAAACTACAAAAAGATCCCCCAAAATGAAAAATGTATAACAGACATAACCCTCCCGTTAATTAGCTACCGTTAAGATTATAATGATGTCATCATACAAATTTAATGTAATCCCTAGATTGCCCACTTCCCATTGTTGCTCTTCTTCAAAACCTAGCCCACCGAATTTACCAACGTTGACATAACTATTATGGTGGTTAATCATCGGGACCATACTATTAATGCCCTTTTTCATGTCAATCCGCGTGACACCATTTTCAAGGTGAATGCATTTCAATGTCAAAATCATAGAGATTATTTGAAATATTTATTTGAAAGGTGATTGGAAAGATAAAAAAGTGTGTTAAAATTTGTGTTTGTGATGCAAACAAATTATTATTATTTTTTCAAATCATTCCTATCCAAACAAACCCAGTAAGTTTAGGCTGTGTTTGGGTTGAATGATTTGACAAAAATTTTGAATTCTTTCAAATTTTTCTAATTATTTAAATTATTTAGATGTATTTAAATTTGTGACTCACAAATTATTATAGTATTTAAAATGTATTTTGACGATTTCTAAATTATAAATCTAAATGCTTCTCAAGCAATATAAACAATTAGAATGATTTGGGTGGATTTCAAATCCTTTAGTAAATTTCTCAATCTAGACGAAGCTTTATAGAAATTTAATTGCCTTCATCTCTATCATTCCCGCATCTACCATCATTTTAACCCTATTATAAGCAGAGAAAAAGTCCGCTTGAAAATACCACACCCCATGGTCAACCACAGATACAACCTACAGCACTGAAAAAAAGATTATTTGGAGCTCTAAATACCTGCATGAATCAAAACCAGTTGATATAGGCTTATAGTGATAAGCGAAAAAAATAATATAAAAAGGATTAATTTTCTTTCATCGCTCAATCATCGGTTTCCTTTCTTCTCTCACTAATTTTCATTTCTTTTTTTCCCAATTCTTTGCTTTCCATATCTTGGTTTCTTTCTTTCTTCTTTTTCTTTCTCTTGTTCCTTTTTGCACATATTTTATCAAATTTGAGTATTACATGTTTGATTTTATTTTTTTCTTTTATTGCTTTACTAGTTAAAAACTATTTTTTTTAATGTAGCAAACTCTTATTTTAATTCCTTATTATCCAAACCATCTTCAATCTTTTGACATTACATTTTCTCTTACTACAAGTTCTTGCAAAGAGGGTAAATCTGACATTTTAGTGCTTTTGTTTGGATGTCTTTGACGAGGTTGTTGAGAAGGGATGTACTTGTAATCTTAGCAAACTAGGGATTACATGGTAGTTTGGTTAAATCTCAAGGGAGGTAGATGTAATTAACCCTTGTCATATTATTTTTTTTTTTTGCTTATCATTATCCTTTTAGTTTCTTTTTTTTTTCCTTTTTCTTTCTTTACCTACCATGCTATCATTATTTGTATACATAGAATAATTCTTTTAATTTTGTTTATCTTGGCATAATAGATGGGTGATACTTTGCTTATTTATTAGTTTTCAAAGTCGAAAAATCATAAGAAACTTCCTATCATAACAAGATCTATGTTTTTTTACATTGTGAAGTCTATTTCACCTAAGAAGTTGAATTATTTAGAGATATATATATATATATATGTGTGTGTGTATCAAATAGAATGACTATTAATGAGTTATCACTAGTAATAAATAACAAATAAACAAATTGAGCTTTCTTTCTTAGGTGATTTGTAATATGTTATTGTTAATGTGAATAGTTGAGTAACTTAGAACTTAATTAGTTTAATGTACTTAAATTGTTGAATTTGCCAATTAACAAATCTTTACAATGTAAGGTAAATATGTTTTCTAGTAGTATAAACTTTCTGATGACATAATAATTAGATTGAATTTAACAAATAAACAAATTTCAGAAAAATTGGTTAAAGAAAATTAAAAGATTAAGTAACTTAGTGCTACAGTGGAACAGGGAAAAAAGAAGAAAATAAATGGCAAAAGAAAAAAAAAGGGTTAATAAATGGCAAAAGAAAAGAGGAAAATGGAAAAGAATAGGAAAAAGAAAAAGAAATAAATTAATATAACAGGGTTAGTTTTGTCCAAACATATCATCAAGTGGGCAAAGTAGATGTAAACTGCGACTGAGTGTATAGTTCAGGTCAGGGTGATTTAATGTATTTAACCCAAAAGATTATGTCTAAAAGAAATGCATGAAAAATGTAAAGAAGAAAAAAAAAGGAAAAGAAAAAAAAGATTAGATTTATAGAGGTGGCAATGGGATGTGCGGTGTACTTACTGTGTTGTGTTGTGTTGTGTTGTTATTGTATTTGTATTAGAAAATCTCAATTCTAGCACAATCCATTAAACTTTCGTGTCGCTTGGTATGTGTCATGACCTGCTTGTTAACGGGTTGACTCAACCTAACCTGCGTAATATGTACACTTTATATGATTAAAATAGTTTTGATATGATGCATTATTTTGCCGAATCAACCTATTAACCTACGCTAGATATACCTTAGCATTTTAGTCACTTATTTTAACCCGTTTAATCATATAATTGATTCAATGTTGCTATCGTTAAAACACACTATAAATTTTTTGAAGTACATAGTCAACATAAAATTTAAAGTTTTCAAAACATTCAAAAAAAAAAAAAATGATGATGAAGCTTTCCAAGCACAGTGTAAGTTACAATGATAGCCTTGTTTGGATTGCCTTTTTTTTTTTTTTTTTTTATTTGAAAAATCTTCTGGATTTCTCCATCTTTCTGTGAATAATTCGTTGGCTGGAACACATTTGTCAATCATCTTATATCTCATATACATCACATTCTAAAAAGTACTAAAGTAATTTTTCTCCAAAAACTCTCTAGAAAATGAGATCAAATCAACCTTTTAAAAACACGATCAAATAGTTCCAGACATGATGAGATATAAAACTTGTGAGTTTTTAAAACATCTAATTGAAATCTTCAAACCAAATATGATCATTGTTAGTTTTTACTAAATACTTAAATTGGCCTTTTGTAGGGTTTAATTATTAGCATAAAGTACGCACGTCGTTGGATTAGTAAATCAACCCATTTATATTCATATCACTAACATATTGACCTAATTGACCCGCTAAAGTTCAAGTTGTGCTAAAACTTGTTAATTTTGGGTTGTGTTTGAATCGTGTTTTCATGTGATACTAGAAATTGCCACCCTTAATTAGAAAGAAATAGGTAACGGGAAAAAAAGAGAATAATAAAATTAGGGCAAAATTTTTAAAAAAATCTAATCCACCAATATTGGGCACTAGTGTGATTTTAGTGTGTAAAATTTTAGCGAAAACAAATCTAATCCCAATATTTTCAATTTAAAATAGATTTAGAACAATTAACAGATATTTTTTTAATTATTGGCGAAATCCATCATGTGTAGTCGTCACATATTTGTTAAATTAAAATTTTAAAAATAGAGTAAGATAGTGGCTAACTTTGAACAGTATTAATAATTCACTTGACAACACGCAAGTAACTGATTAACCAAGAAAATTTTTTTGTTAAACTATACGTAAATGTTGATTGATAGAGTTTTTTTGCTTGAGAACGGTGGGAATAAAGAGTAAAAATGAGTCTTGGATTAATGAATTGAGTGTTTCGATTGATCTTAGTTTTATAGTTTAACAAAATTTTTCTTCTCTTTTAAAGGCTAATTAGTTACCACATGAGTTACTAGTCAGTGATTTTATTGTTTAAAGTGAGCCGTTGTTTTAATACTTTATTTTTAAATTCAAATCAACGCGTCATGACTGTATATGACTAAATTCTGTCAGTAATTAAAAAAATTATACAAACGTCCTAAATGTACTTTAAATTGGACACATTGAGAACATATACAAACGTGCTAAATCTACTTTAAATTCAAAACTTTAAGAAACTAACATTAAGGACCAAAAGGTCCAAAACTGCGTTACATCGTGTGAATATATTATATTATTTGTATTGCGCAACTTTAGAAGACTGTTGTGGTGTTTTTGTACTTTTGACTTTGATTTTGCCACTCCTCAATGGGCACAAACAAAGCCTTTGGAACAAAGAAATCGATCGCAAAACACAAAGGCAAAGCCCACCAGATTTGAATACTTCAAAATTCATTCAACTCCGGCGATTAGACCCGCCTTCTGAAATCCAGATCAAGCCACCCAAAGGTAAGGTCCCATTTTTTCTTCATACAAATCCAAAGGAAACACGCACTAACACACCCTCAAAAACACGCACTAACACATACAGAGATTGTTGGTATTGTTATGGAGGTCCCTCCATTCCACCACCACAGGTACGTTCCTCCTCCCTCAAATTTTTCTGAAAGCCCTAATTTTTACCACCACCCCCAATCCCACCACCGTCTTCCTGCGCCGGCACAGCAGCACCACCACCAACACCACCAGCAGCCGCCACCCCTCCCTCACCTTCCACCACCTTCAGCGCCGCAGCATCACCGACCACACCTCCGTCCTCAACTCCCTCCCCCTCCCCCTCTCCCTACCCCTCCCCAGTCCCAATTCAAATTCCGCCCCCGCCACCATGCGATTGACCCTGTCCCCTCCCCCTCCCCCGGCCCTGCTCCCTCCGGCCAATTTTCCAACTTCATTCCGCCCCATCTTCTCAACCAACCAGCTCGCCCGCCTTTATCCCCTCATAGGGTTCCATCTAACCACCAGTACGACCACCGTCATCGAAACCCAAGCTTTTACAATGAGAATTCTCGATTTTCTGACCCTTGGCTGGACTTGCCTGCGCCGGCTAGGGCTCCGGTTGAGCCTGACTTCCGCTACCAGCCGCAGCAGCAGCGCCGGCCTCTTTCCCCTCTTCCGCCCCGAACTGATAGTTATGTAATGAGGGATTTTGATGGTAGTGCTAGATATAGGGATGATGGGATCTCTGAGGGGTTTAGAAATGCTGCTAATCCAGAAATTCCTTTGTGGGGTGAGTGGAAAGAGAGAGATTTTGAAGTAGTCGATGATGGGAATGATTACCGGTATCATAGCGGTCATCCTGGGTTCGAGAGGAATATTAGTCCTGGCTTTGAAAGGGGTATTGATAGAATCAACAGGGATATTGTAGCTGCTGATTCTCGAGACATTTGTATCAGCCAGAGCCCATCTAGAAATTTTTCCTTGAATGTAGGAAATTATGAGTCGTATAATGATAGAGCGGACGATCTTAGATGGGCTTATTCCCGGTTAGAGAAGGACCACGAGCATGTTGAGGATGATAGGGTTTCATTAGCCTCTTATGGTGTGCGGCGGGAGTTATTTGATAGTTGCTATGATGATGACGATAGGTTGAGTAGTGATAGGGTTGAAGAAGAGCTGTACAGTAGGTCTCTCAGGAAGAAACAAGTGCAGAAAAAGAGCGCTTTGCTTAGGATTCAGTTAGGAAAGGGTAACAACAGAAACAATAACAGGAATAAAAGCCATGATAATAGCCGTTATTCGAGGGCTTATTATGATGACTCAAAATTGAGTTTCGGTGGTAGCTTCAAGGGGAAAGAAAAAGATGATTTTGTACATCCGGATTGGAAAACAGAGGGGCAGAGAGAGAACAGCCCTGTGGAGCTGGATGTTTCATTTAAATCAAATGCACTTGTTGCCAAGGCTATAAAGGCCACTTCAAGCCCTGTGGCTGAGCCGGATAAGAGTTTAGCACCTAGAAATAGGAAGCTCAAGAAAATTAATCCCAATGATGGCCAAGGAATTAAAATGAGTGAGAATTCGGTTAAAGCTGCAAGTTTTGCCAATGAGTTTGATGCTTCATCTTTTTCTGACAAGGATCATAAGGAGTCATCGGATAAGATTATTTCTTTCAAACCTGACACTTCTACAGGCGGTTTGGATTCTCGGTTGAGTTCTGACAAATGTGGTAAAGGATCAGCAGAGAAGGTTATTGTGGTTAAAACTGACAACTCTGCACCTGGGCTGGATTTTCCTTCAGGTTCAGGCAAAGATCTGGGAGTGTTGACCGAGGAAACATCAGTGTGTGATTGTAGGACAGATGTTGTTGAAGAAAACAACGCAGGTAATGAATCTTTGACGTTGGGATGTTCTGATCAGGGTGTTAAACGTGTTGCACCTGATGGAGTACTTTTGCAAAGAGCTAGAAAGAGGAAGACCGTTAGAGTTTCTATTCAAAATGAGACTACTAATGTTGACAATTCTTCTACAAGCAGTCAGTCTGCAGCCTCTGATCTGGATGAGGGTGTTACGCTTTTGAGAGAGAGTATTTCTTCTGCTGGAATGGATGCAATGAATGATGTTCTTTCGCCATCTCTTACAAATGATCTTGCTGTTGAGGAAGTAAATAATTCTTCAGAAAATGTAGTTTCTGATATAAAGGAAGATGGTGTTGGCATCAGTTCTAGTCAGAAAATTCCATCTCAATTTTCCGCTTTGCTGTCTGTATCATTGAATCCTGGGGATGCTGATTTACATGGGGGTTCCAGGAATGAAGATAAAGTGGTTGATAATGAACTTTTTGGGTTGAATTCTGACAAAGATCTAGTTGAATCACAAAATACATCTGTTCCTTCTTGTATGGGTGATCCAGATGTTGCTGATGAGCTTCCTTGTTTGAATGGATCTTTACTGGTTGAAAATGATCTTCTTAGAAAGGACACTCTGTCAGTCCACAGCAATGCTAGCTTGTCAACTTTGAAGGAGAATGAGGTTCATGATGGTCAGATGGATGCATCTACCTCAACCCACAATGCATTTAGTGCTTCAACTTTATGTAAAAGTCCAGGAAGTATGCCTATCGCACATAAGGGGTATATAGATACTGGTTCTGAGGAGTTTGTCCCACTTCAGGTCAATGTATCGCATGAGAATGACAATGATAGAGATTCTCCTCATCCAAATCTATTGGTTAATGATGTTGGAATTCTTAGTCCATCAAAGATTGAGAAACCAACTACCCGTGAAGTTGCTGAAAATCATGATTTGTATGATAATAGTTTGAATTGCCCTGCATCATCTAAAAGCTTCTTTTCAGATCCTTTACGGAAAAGTGCTACTTCTGATACCTGCTTATTGGAGGATAGTGGCAAGCAGTCAATTGCTGGCAGTGCTACAGCATTACCTTTGAATGCTCCTCGTGAAAGATCTCCAAGGTTGACGGTTTCTCATTCACCGAAGGTCGGGAGGAAGAGGAAGGCTAGAGATGATCAACTGGGTATTCATGATAAACTGACTAGTGAAGCAGATGGGTTTATTGGTAGTGCTCTAGATGATGGCAATAGAAACTCAACTCTCTGGGTGGCAAAGAATCTTGTTTCTGCAGAGGAGGAAATTGGTCTGGGAAATGGATCTAATAGTGTGGAAACAGGCTGTCCAGATGAAGGCCCTCCAGAGTTTAATCCTTCTGTTCAAGGTGGGAAGAAGAGAAGGGGTTTTTCTTTAACATTGACCTCTCGGGTACTTTCTGAAATCAGCCAAGACCCTAAAGATGCAACTCAACCAGAATGTTTGTCTGATGCTGAAGAACATACTATTCAACCAGAAGACAGAGTTGATCTTTCTAGCTCATGTGATACTGCTTTTGCTGGTGTGACACCTTATTCGGAGGCATCAGTCATTTTGTTGGGAGAGGATGTAACTGCTGGGGAATCATATCAGTCACCTGGAGGTGGCACTAAGGGGCATTCTGCAATACTTGAAAATGAGATACCTTCACCAGCAAAGTTAGAAGCTGATAAAAATGATAATGCTCCTTCGACTCTTCGTGCTTCTGCCCTTCAAATTGCTGATGATACGCTTAGCGGAAGTGGTGAGGGAAATTTTATTAGGTCTGATATGAATAAGAAGCAATGTTTTGGAGATGCTGATCATGCAAATCACTTGATTTTAGAAGAAACTATGGGTGCTCGTGGCAATACATCTTTATGCTCTGATTTAGGTGGTGTCTCTGCTAGTAGTTCTACTGATAGACAGATGGACTCTGTTCCTGATACATTGTCCTGTATGGGTTCTCCTGAAGATGTGATTTCTAGTATGAGCACAGGTATGTTGAATGATGGTATGCAACTTAGCAACTTATCAGAAATTATTGAGGGGAAGGATTCAATATCTAACAAGAATCCTATTTCTGGGGGTGACATGGTCCCACTTTCACTAAAGCCACCTTCACATACTTCAAAAACAGGCACAAAATTAGTTGATGCAGTTCCTCTGGATCTAGCTGTAGATATTAAAGCTGCCTCACTGTTATCTCGGAAAACTTTTAAAGTAACTCAGGATTCAAATCCTTTTCCGAAGAAATCAAGTTTGACAACGAATATGCCAAACTCATCTTTCATTGGTAATTTTTCTGGTCCTGCATCTATCAAGTACCCCTCTGCAGCAAAAGTATCTCCATTCAACCATGTTGCAAGACCACGAACATGGCATCGAACTTTTAGCTCTTCTCCTTCTGTTGTGGGACAAAAACCACGTGGAAACTGCATTCAACCACAGACTAATAATAAGAAAGAGGTTGCTAAGGTTCAAAGCTCTTATGTTCGTCGGGGAAACAGTCTTGTTAGGAAGCCATCTCCAGTTGTTGCTACCCCCCGAGTAGTAAAGGCTTCCACATCCTCTATTGAACACTTGGATTCTGGTATCCATGATGTGTTGAAGGGTGGAGGATCTGAGAATATAACTAGGGTTGTTGACCCACCAGGCGCTGCATCATTGGATGCATCCAATGCTTGTCCAGTGAGGCCAAAACCCCCGCCACTAATAAGTAGCGTAAAATTATTGGATTGCCTGACTCCCAACCCAGGGGATTTGACTTTCTCACTCCTGGCCAATCTGCCAATAAATAAGTGTCCTTTTGAAACTCCTTGCAAATCTGCAGAGCACATGAATACGGGGAGGTCTTCTCAGGATGGAGTGAAATCTTCTTTTAATGGTTGTCATACTGGAGTAGGGAAAGATTCGGATTGCCAGAATAATGCAGATGAAAGCAGTAATGGGAAGAAGATACTATATGTCAAGAGAAAGTCAAATCAGTTGGTTGCAGCTTCTGATTCGGAAGATATATCTCTCCATAGTGCAGAGAAGACCCAAGTGTTATCATCTGGTGGCTACTATAAGAGGAGGAAAAATCAGCTGATCAGGACATCATTGGAAGAAGGTGTAAGGCAAAGGGTCGTCCCGGATAAGATCTTAAGCTTGCAGCAGCAGGATGCTCAGAAGAATATTCAGACTAGGTGTTCTAATAAGAGGCTGCCTGGTAAAGATGCTAATCAAGAACTCAATTTCATTGTGGTCTTTTAAGTTCATTTGACCACAAATACATATATTTTACTTTTCTGTGCAGACACTTTTTTTTTCCCTTTCGTCGTGTATTCGTGTGGCTATACAGATAGTCAACTGGTTTATGATGCTCTCACATTTACACAATCAGAACTACAATTCTGGTTGTCTGTTTCTATCACTGTGTGACATTGTGATAGCATTTCAATTGATGGTAGACATAGAAAGTTAAAACCCATTTGTTTTTTAATCACTGATCTTGGAAGGAATAATAATGAACAAGAAAATAATGGAAGTCAAGGTGCTTTTTGATTAATGTGTTAATTTGTTATCAGCATAAGTGATGTTTTCAGCAGAGTGAAGTTGGGATTGTGTGTTTAACATTGCCATCTTCTTGGTGGCTTTCTTGGATTTGTTAGATTATCGTGCCTAAATTTCTTCTTCTTCTTCTTCTTCTTCTTTTTATGAACTTCAAATTGCTCCTTTTAAAATTCATGATTGATTGGGACAGCAGGTAAAATATGGTTACCTCTGTTAACACTTGCAGGGTTTATGAAGAAAAAGTTTTCTCTGGTTTGGACACTGTGCGGTACAATGTCATCAAGGAAAGATGGTAGTTCAGAGAGATGGCAGAGGGTGCTGCCATCCTTATTTCCTTGGAGAAGGGCTACATACTGGACCAATTTCATGCACAGTTTGAGTTCCATTCCAATTGACAGTGCGGCTTCTACAGTTGGGTATGTCTCTCATCTTATCCAGTTTCTGCTGCTCCTGCTGTTGGGTTAGATTTTTTTTTCTTTACAGTTACGGGCAATAAAATGGATGAGTTCTTTTGTTTCTTCCTTCAGCCAGAAACTGCTGCTATCAAGAAAGAGGGATGCAATCTATAAAAAATCAATTAGTGGATTCTCTCTCCGAAGATCCAAGGTACTTAGTGTGGGTGGTCGTAGTTTGAAGTGGTCAAAATCCATTGAGAGGAACTCCAGAAAAGCTAATGAGGTTTGTTCATGTGAACTCATTTAACTCTTGAAACGTGAGTTTTTAATTAAAACATTAGCAATTTTGGTTTTCATTTTTCCCCCTTAATTATTTGTTCTTTGTAGGATGCTACACTAGCAGTTGTTGCGGCTGAGAAGAGGAAAAGAGCACGAAATGGTGCTGTTCTTACTCTGTCTAAGAGCAGAAATTATGTTTCTCGTAAGTCAGTGTATAGTGTAAAGCTATGCCCAGGTAGGCCAGTCAGCAATCCTGGTCCTGGCAAACTTATATTTGTTAATACTCTTGGTAACCCCTTTGGATTTAGTTGATAACTGTTATTTTTGCTCGCTCATCCTGCCTTATCTAGAATTCCTTCTTTGTTGGAGTCTTTTACTCAGTAGACCCAGGTTGTTTGTTAATTTCTTCTCCTGTAACTTACAGGCGAGCGGATATTCCGAGTTGGTTCAGAGAGATATAGAATGGACCCGACCAGGAAGACGTTACAAAGGATCTCAGGTTGCTTGTTCTGATTTCACTTGAAGAGCTTATTTTTTGTTCTTGTTTCTTCTTTCTATTTTTTTCAGTAGTATGTATTTATCTATTGATTTCTTAGGTTAATGGTTCATTTTAGTTAGAAGTGCAATCTTCGTACCTTATAGTGCCTTCACCACTTGGTTTCACTGGGCAATTTCCTAAATCAAGACAGAAGAAGAAATGCACAGTTCTGGTGACTTGATCTTTGAATTTTTTTGGTTTTGGAGGTGGATGTTCTAAAGCACTCTGTTGAATGTGAAATTATGGATAACCATATTTGAAGGGTTGAATCTTAAGACCCCACGTCTTTGGTGTTTTATGACACTTTTGGATGCCTGGTGTGACTTCATCTAGTTCGATATAAATTTGAGACTGAAGTAAGAGATAATATGATATTGAAATATATCTTGGACAACAATGGGCCAATGGAGATCAGTTGAGCCTAATGTGTTGCTATGCTTTTTTATGCTCCACCAATGCCTGTGGTTCAAGCTCTTGCTTAGCCGGAAATGGTGTTTTCTATTGTTTCTCTTGGGTATATGGTTTCTACAAAGCTTTCAACTTATGCCAATGTTGAAGCATGATCTTTTTAGGTTCTGCACCTGATGAATATGTATGCAGAATATATCTTTGGATTTATATGTGTGAAAGAAAATAGACTTCAGAAGACTGCAGAAATGAGGGAAGAAGGAAAGAGAGAGAGGGCTTCACTCTAAGAGAGAGATGGAGTTCATTTGTCAATACTACATTAGCATTTTGGTCGGACCTGAAGCTATGACAACTGAATTTCATTGGAAACAAGACTTGAAGTAAAGATCTTAAGATTTAAGTAAGCTTCAAGGCTAAGCAAACACAACAAATAAGAAAGCTAGAAGCTAAAAGTTAGGGGAGGTGCAATTTGACTTACTTATTTACCTGAAAGCTGGCTCAAGAAAGTACTAGCATTTGAGTTTAGCCTTGTTGGCCACCAAAACTTCTACATGGCTGTTACCTGATTCTAACAGAACTACCTTGGCCTACAGCCAACTCAAAATAAAAAAAAAGACCTAAATGTTTGATCTAGATCAGCTGCAAACTGAAAATTTTTTCCCCCAAAACATAAGTTTCTTTCATATTATTTTCCAAGCCTTCCCATCCTGCATCCCAAGTGCTTACGACAGGTATCCTCTGATTTAACTCTGTTCTTTGCTCTAATGTAGCTGAACTGGGGGACAGGAGATGGGAGAGGGGGGGAAGGGGGGCTTGAATATCATGATGATGTAGAGTCTTGAGATGTGTCTCCTTTCTTGAGTAGCATAGTTCTAGAAAGCTACGGTGTATTTTCATGGTTCCAGCCGTTCACTTTGGGTCTATATGCAGTTTAGAAAAATGCGTGGTCCTCTTTATTGTTTGAATACTTTGATCGTCTTCTGCTCTGCTATAATGTTTAAGATCTTTAACCTGCCCTCATGACTCTCCTTCCTATCTCCTTCACCTTTGTTGCAGATGAGCGACCTTCATACTCAGATGACACGACTGAAAACAAAAGAAAGAAGTTTTACGTTCCAAGGAGATTACTAATTGGCAGTGATGAGTAAGTCCAATAACTAGTTGTTATATTCACTGATGTCAAATTTATTTTTGGGGACTGATGTTTTAACATGGAAAGTAAGGGAAAGAAATAAGATACGTTGATTACCTATGACTTACCTTGAACTGTACTTCAGCTTTTGAAAAAGGGGTATTTTATTTATTATGCTGAATATATGTTGTAGATACATTCGAATTGGAAATGGTAATCAGTTAGTTAGAGATCCAAAGAGAAGAATTCGAATATTGGCAAATGAGAAAGTTCGTTGGAGTCTGCACACTGCTAGATTGCGATTGGCTAGAAAGAAAAAGTACTGTCAGTTTTTTACAAGATTTGGGAAATGTAACAAGGATGATAAAAAATGTCCTTACATCCACGATCCCTCGAAAATTGCTGTCTGCACTAAATTTTTGAATGGCTCTTGCTCCAATCCTGATTGCAAGTTGACTCATCAGGTATGTTGCCTTGTAATTGCTTTGTATGATTTGCGGTAGTCTTGCAATCTATTGCTGTTTCCACCACCTTTGCATATTTTATTGATTATGCATGTAGGTCATTCCTGAGCGGATGCAAGATTGCTCCTATTTTCTGCAAGGTGAATATTCTTCTTCTTTTAGTTTAACGACTTATGACTCGCACAGCTCTAACTCATTTTTTTGACAGGATTGTGCTCTAATGAAAGTTGTCCATATAGACATGTTAATGTGAACCCAAATTCCCCTATTTGTGAAGGTTTTCTAAGGGGTTATTGTGCTGATGGCAATGAGGTATTTGGTTTCAGTGTTCAACTGTATGAATTTATTCATATTATCTGTGAAGCCTATTTTTGATTTTTTCTTTTATGAACCTCTCTCTCTTTCTCTCTCTCTACACAAAAAATTCATTTTTGATTCTAGGTGTTGTAATTTCCACCTTTTCTCACGTTCGGAAATAGTTGGACATTCCACTGAATTATTTACAACAGAAACACCTTTTTTTTGCTCGTTTCTAAATTCCAGCATTAGATATATTCTTATTTTATAAAAACAATAGGTTGATTGTATTGAACATAATTCTTTCTAATGTTAAGGTAATTCGAATAGAAGTTTCTTTGGACCAGAAAATATCGTGCACTGCTTATTTTGCAAGTTCTTTATGATCTAAATCATGTTTAATGCTGCATAGGATTTTAAGTTATTGCGACATTTCACTCTGCATGAATTGCAAAACGAGAATGTGTTTTACAAGTTCAAAATTCTGGCTCTGCCTCTCTCTCTCTATGCAAGTTGGAATCACCAATGATAAATTGATAAGATAATATGGATGGAAATTCCTTGATTTAGAAATCGTTTACAAATGTGAGTGATTTTGGCATTTACACTAAGTGGATGGCGTTTTTTATTCCTATTAATAAATGAAAATTTTACAATTTACATAACTCAAATTATATTTGAAAAAAACAAGAAAGAAAAGTCTGATAACCGATGAAACAGTCGAATTGGGTAACTGTTTTGGTCTATTTCTGATAATTTTGACTGATTTTTTACCAAAACGATTTCGTGCTACTAACCAGCTCGAGAAGAATATCGGTTCTTGTCAGACCGGTCAAATCGATCGATCCGGTCTGAGTCTAACAGCTTCCAAATGCCCTTAAATCAAAGTTTCTAGTTAGGTCAAAGTCGGTTGTGGTGATTCCAATATGTTTTTGTCAACGAAGTCAAGTATAACTTGCCCTTAGGAAAAAGAAAAGAAGTAGGAATCGGAGAAATAGGGACCAAATAAATTTAAACGGACCGCGAAAGGGGCGAAAATGACATGCTTGAAAAGCTTCTATTCATGATCGCATTGCTTAGTCCATAAAGAAAGAGCGTAGATTTTGTATTAAGTTGTGACCTCTCCAAACCAATGTTTTTAAACTCGGACCGGTCAGTGAACCGGAGAGGTGGCCGGTTCGCGTTCGACCGGTCCGACCGGTCCAACCGGTCGGTTCAAAGGTTCACTGTTTTTTTTTTTTTTTTTTTTTTTTTTTAAGTGTTAAGTACTAAGCAGGTTTCATTCTACACTTGAACTTTACCAACATAACTTAATTTAAGTTATGATAATAATAAATTTTCTAAAAGTTATACACAAAACATGGAATGATAAATATAATTAAAATATCATAATTCACCACAAGTTTTCATAAATTCATTATAAACATAAATAGATACAATCCAAATGTGCACCAATTATCACAAATAAAAACACAAAAAATAAATAAATTAAATAATTGAAATTCTTTTACAACCCTTAAAAAAATCCATAAAAGAGTTCAAGTTAAGACAAACTATTTGAATAGCAAACTTTTATCAGTGGCATGATAAGCAACCACACCACCTTCACAATTTCATCAACTTAAGCTGAAAAAGTTAAAATTTTATTATAAAAATATAAATCTAATTGCTCAAACTAAAAAAAACTAAAAATTTTTGAAAAACAAATATACAGTTAAACACATAAAAAATTAATTGCTACTAAACATTACTAATTAACATGTTATATTAAATTCAATGATCCTATACCATTAATTATTTTAAATTCAATTATCAATAGCTTCGATTATGTGCCAACTACCATATTTTTGACCAACCCAATGTTATTATTTGTAATTCCTACCCAATTCCTACACGGATGTGCACTACTTTTGCAAAAATTTCATCCTTAATTAATCGAATAAAAATAAAACAAAAATGAGGGAAACATATGAAAATTGAGGGGAAAAGAAGAAAATGCAAAAAATCAACTAAAGATAATAATATAGAAAAAAACCTTGAAAAGAAAAAATTAAACTTACTAAAATGTTGAAAAACAAGAAAAGTTGAAATTTTCAACTTGTTTACAATCTGCTAAAGATAATAACCTGATAATAATGGTGAAGACTTGAGAAAATCTTGTTGTGGATATTTGGGTTAAAAATGGTTAAGAAGAAAAAATTTGAAAAAAAAAAAAAGAGAAGAACTTGATGTTTTAATATATTTTTTAGTCAAGTAGAATTCTCAACAAACTTAAGTACAGTCTAGCGGTAAGATTGTCATATTTAAACTTGAAGACCCAGGTTCGAATCTTAGCTACACCATTCTTGATATTTTGTTGAAGAATTTAAAAACCGCCAGTTCACGGTTCTTAACGGTTCGCACGGTTCGTCCGGTTCGTCCGGGTTTCAACGGTTCTCCATGAACTTCCGGCTTTAACATTAGACCGGACCGGTGACATGGCCGGTTCGCGGTCCAATCGGTCGAACCGGCCGGTCCGGTCCGGTTCTGAAAACATTGCTCCAAACACGCTCTAAAAAAGTCTGCCAAAATGATCACACGAAAGCATCCTTTGTTTGGGATACCTTTATGGTAGGCACCCCTTTGACCGTGCATACCATAGGCACACGGTTCCCGTTCGACACGTGTCCGAAAGATTGTCAATGTGGACCATGCGAGGCATAATGCACATGGAGAGTCCCACGCGCGTGGAATCCATTCTACCGCACATCGAATCCATTCTACCGCTTCTTTTTTTTTTTTCCTTTCATTTGACCAAAATTTGGATTTCACTAAATCACTCCTTCCCGTAAAATTTATGACAAAGTTTTTGTTTCTTTAATTTATTTCAAGTATAAATATTAGTATTACAATATTATTCATTATTTTTATGACACAAAAATAAAACATTCATCATATTGCCAAAACTTGAAAAATTTGTACAACTCCATCACAAAATTTGTATTCAACTTATAATTGTTGTTATTGCAAATGTTAAAACCTATGAATAATTATATTATCCCATTGACCCGACCAATGTCAGTAGGTACCCGTCCCGCCCCTACTTATCATTTAATTTTTTAGAAAAAAAGATTTATAATAATTTAATTTTATATTTTACATATTCATCTAAGATTTAATAAAGATTTTTTTTCTCAAAAAAAGTCTCCTACCAAAAAACAAGCATGCGACGAGAATACATGATAAATGAAAAAAATTAAAAGAATTCAAAATCAATAAAGTTTGAAACAAGTAGCGCACTTTTTTTAAATATATGTTCCACACTAATTAAATTCTTTTCTATAAAACATAAGTTCATGATATCTACAAATGAATCTTGTATATAAACTATAGTCTCTTACATTTGTAATGTAGTTTGTTTAATGAAATTACTTATTTAATTCTAAATTATTATTTTATAAGATGTGTACAAAAATAAAAAATAAATATATGTGAAGAGGGTCGGGTACCCGCGGATTTTTAATTATGTGACCCTAATTCGCGCCGCATCTTAGAGGATACCCGACCCTTTTTGACCCGATCAAATAATATAAATTGGATATCCTAATTTTCGGGTCGAATCCGATTGGATATAATGAATTTTCGAATTAGTAGATAATTTTGCGACCCCTACCGGTGACCATCTTTTACGGACAGATTTTGCAGTGTTTTTGGTGAATTTGACGAAAACCTTTATGGTAGGAAGGGTGTTGACCGTTCCTACCGTAAGTAGCCCTGCAAAGCATGACACGTGGTCCAGAAGCCCTTTATGGTAACGGAGACGTTTTGTCTATTTGCAAACACGCGTGGACAAATGGAACCAAAATGCCATGTCCGGATGGTTAAAGTGCAAACGCGTGTGGACAAATGGAACCAAAATACCGTGTTCGGATGTGGATCAATCAATTACCAAGGAATACCGTACGCTGTTGACCGCTTAAGATAGTAGAGGAAGGATAATTGCAGGATTGAACCAGAAGTACACAGCATTTGCAAATTAACCCGTAAGGAATGGAAATATGCCACAACTCCCTGTAAATGTAATTGTGTGTGAAGAAAGTTTTGAATTTAGAACACAAAATAATTTCAAATTTGCCACGTGTGGTGGAGAAGAAGTTGGAAGAACAAAAAACGGGAGGTGAATGTACTGGTTGGGCGTCAAATTAAAATAGAAAACGATTCACACATATACATAATACGTATATTTAGTACCCAAATTTTCAGCCTAAGCATCCGATTGAGCTTTCAATTGTCAGTTCTTCATTCAAACCAATTTTGTAACTGAATTGAAAACATCGAAATATCATTAATGCCTTTTGATTTGCATCGACACTGAATATGTGACGTTTGTGACAGCCCCACCTTCCCCTAAGGCGAACCAGAGGGGTTAGCAGACTGCCTGTCCATCTCTCGCCAGGACTAACGGTGCAGTTAGAGCGATCTATTGCGTTCCGGAACTTATAACGCGCGTAAACGAGTCAAAATGGCAAAATAACCCAAAATAAAAAAAAAATAAATCCGGAGTCGGTCATGAATAGTAACCGACCCGTCAGAATCCAACCAAATAGCAAGCAAACATTCACATCTTGAACTTTAGCAATTACAACCCAAAGTGGCATACAAAGGTTTTCAAAAGTTCATATATACACGGGTTGCCAAATTAAAAGTGAAAACGGCCCTAAAGATACATTTAGGGTTTCACTTCAAATACAATACAAAAGAGATATTCATCAAGTTCATTCGGCAACCATCTATCAAGATTCATTCCAAAAGGGTCATATTCCTGTAAGGAAAACAAAAGGAACGGTGTGAGCTAATTGCCCAGTGAGATTACTACTCAAGCAACCAAGTTCATAGATGCATCAAGCTTCTCAGTCCAATTTATCAAGAGTAAATAAAAACATACATCAATAATGAGGATAAAAGGATACGGGCGGCTCTCAAGAGCCCTTTTCCTCGTTGGCATTCTTGATCGAATCGCATTGACTCTCCGTCAATGTTTAAAAGTAACCAACCGTAGACTCCACTTTACTTCCGTTCCTTCCACCTAACATCCCCCTACCGGGCCCGAAATCCAAACACTTGCACTTTGGTATTACTCGAGTAAACCGGAATCAAGAGTCTCTCATACTACAAGATTCCATATAACACTTCCCCAAGACACATTAATTGGCACGACCAAGCCCTCGCCGGCTCGATTCAATCAACTACCAATGGGGTTGAGCTCATTGATAACAATTGTAGTCGTTGGATACTCGTCCAAACGGCACCAAGTCATGTACTTTCATTTCAAGTAACACTTCGTGTAACATTCCAATCACATGATAACAAGGATATAAGGCACATAGTGAGAGTGATAAAGTACACTTTCACTTCAAGCAATTAACATTCAAAGCACCAAGTTCAAGTATCAAAGCCATATATTAACACACAAGTGAGTAGTACACTCACCAAGCTCGCAAATGTGGTTTCATGCACTTCC